GAATTTTAAAGTTATTCATGGCCAATAATCAAAGTCACGTTTCAGACAAGAGCATGGTAGATTTACCATTAAAACACAATTGAATGGCACAAATGAGTATTGTATATTGAAGTGCATATCTCTTTTAAATAACTTCACATACATTTTAGGTGCATTGTAAGTGATTGATTGGTTCATTTTTATTCCTCAGTACGTAGCTTTCCTGGTAGAACATATGTTACAAATTCCATTATAGAAATATGTATGTACATAAAGACATGAGGTATCACTTGAAGGCTACTCATATTCCTCTATCCAGGGCTCACACTACTTCAGAATGATAGGGAGAAGTGACTTCTCTTTTTGAAACTGAGAGGGAAATTGGTGAGATTTGAAAGAGAAGTGCTCGTTCGCTCGCGGGGCTACAATGGGAGGGGGCATTAAGTTTTACCCTTGTCTGTCTGTATGTAAGTACGTACATACAATGTACGTCCCAAAATTGGTTTCCGTTCTCTAACTTTAGTTTGCCTCAACCAAATGTTATGAAACTTATACACAATGCTTATTACCATAAAACACAGATCAAGTTTGAATTTTGGTGGCGTCACTTTTACCCTTCTAGAGTTATGCCCCTTTACAGATGGAAAAATTGCTGAATTTTTCGTTTCCATTCTCTAACTTTAGTTTGCCTCAACCAAATGTTTTGAAACTTAAGTTTGCATCAACCAAATGTTATGAATTTTATACACAATGCTTATTACCACAAAACACAGATCAAGTTTGAATATTGATGGCATCCTTTTTACCATTTTAGAGTTATGCCCCTTTATCACATTATATGCAAGCGGGGGCATCATCTGTGTCCCATGGACACATTCATCATTTATTTTCAAATATTCTGAAAATGACAGGCAGTTGGACTTAGTCATTTTTTTGGTACTAGCTGCATAAAGCGATCATGGTTTGTCCGGCTATCTCCTCCTACAGTTTTGGAGGTACATCTTTAATATTTTGTAGGATGTTCATACACATAATTGAGTTGTGCATGGCCACAGGATTTAGATTTTTTTCAAATATTCTAAAAATGACAGGTAGTTGGACTTGGTCTTTTTTTGGTACTAGCTGCATAAAGAGATCATGGTTTGTCCGGCTAACTCCTCTTACAGTTACATCATCATACATAGTGTTAAATTTATAATTTCCTATGGTCAGACGGGGGCATCATTTGTGTCTTACAGACAGCGTAACAATTTCAAGTTGTATGCCAACATCACTGTTTGTCAAATCTAAAATATTTGGAACTATTCTCATGCATATGGCAGAGCAGAAAAGGTGGGGGGGGGGGGCATTGTCCATATCTAGTTTTTATACGCCCGTTTACGGGACGTATTATGGTATACCGTTGTCCGTCTGTCCGTCCGTCCGTCTGTCCGTCCGTCGTCAACATGTCGGACATTAACTCAAAAACGCTTTAACCAATTTGCATAAAACTTTGGTGAATTATTTATATCTATTGACGTGAGCTCCCTTTCGTTTTTTATAAATTTTAGATTTTACGTTTCCGAGTTATGGGGTTTTATTCATTTAAAAAAGGGGGATTTTCCAGTTTTCGGACAATAACTCAAGAATGCTTTCACCAACTTGCAAGAAATTGTGGTGAATTGTTTATATCTATTGACATGATCTCCCTTTCGATTTTTATATATTTTAGATTTTACGTTTCCGAGTTACAGGTTTTTATTCATAAAAAAAGGGGGATTTTCCAGTTTTCAGACAAAAATCAAAAATGCTTTCAGCAGTTCTAATGAAACTTTGGTGAATTGTTTATATCTATTGATGTAAGCTCCATTTAGAATTTTATAAATTTTACATTTTACATTTCTGAGTTAGGGGGTTTTATTCCTTAAAAAAGGGGGGATTTTCCAGTTTTCGGACAATAACTCAAAAATGCTGTCACCAATTCTCATGAAACTTTGGTGAATTGTTTATATCTATTGATGTATGCTCCCTTTACATTTTCAAAAATTTCCAATATGACATTGAGAATTAATTGAACTTTAATTGTTTATAGTCTGACAACAGATTTACTAAGTATTGCACAACAGCTGAGTGTATTGCACAACACCAGGAAATCTTTAATTGAATATAAATTCAATTCATATAACCAATTTCAAGTTCTTTGACTACATTTATTCAGAATCCTATAATATGTCAAATATTTAATACAATCCAAATTCAGACCTGTATCAAGCTTGAATATTGTGTCCATTTTTGCCCCAACTGTTCAGGGTTGGACCTCTGCGGGCGTATCCAGCTGCGTTCAGCGAAGCAGTTTATTTCAAATATTCTGAATATGACAAGTAGTTGGATTTAGTAATTTTTTTGGTTAGGTGGGTGCATCATTTGTGTCTTATAGACAGTATAACAATTTCAAGTTGTATGCCAACATCACTGTTTGTCCATTGCCAATTTTGTGGCAAAAATAAAAAATAAAGAACTTTAATTGTACAGCATACATTGTGCCTGACCCTGTCTAAATATTTTTATACGACAGCAAAAAAATTTTTGTGGTCGTATATTGGTATGACGTTGGCGTCGTCGTCGTCGTCCGGCGTCGTCGTCCGAAGACACATTAGTTTTCGCACTCTAACTTTAGTTTAAGTGAATGGATCTCAATGAAATTTTACCATAAGGTTCAATACCACGAAAGGAAGGTGGGGATTGATTTTGGGGGTTATGGTACCAACAGTTAAGGAATTAGGGACCAAAAAGGGGCCAAAAATAAGCATTTTTGTAACTTGCAGACATTACTTGTGTGTAAGTGTATGGATCTCTCTGACATTGTACCACAAGGTTCCATATCACAAAGGGAATGCTGGGATTGATTTTGGGGGTAATTGCCTCCAAATTTTAGGAATTAGGGGCCAAAAAGGGGCAAAAAACAAGCATTTTTCTAGTTTCATGACAATAACTTGTGTGTAAGTCTATGGATCTCTCTGACATTGTATCACAAGGTGCCATATCACAAAGGGAATGCTGGGATTGATTTTGGGGGTAATTGCCTCCAAATTTTAGGAATAAGGGGCCTAAAAGGGGCAAAAAACAAGCATTTTTCTAGTTTCATGACAATAACTTGTGTTCAAGTGTATGGATCTCTCTGAAATTGTACTGCAAGGTACCATACCACAAAGGGAAGGCTGGGATCGATTTTAGGGGTAATTCCCTCAAAATTTTAGTAATTAGGGGCTATAAAAGGGCAAAAAAACAAGCATTTTTCTAGTTTCAGGACAATAACTTGTGTGTAAGTGTATGGATCTTTATGAAATTGTACTGCAAGGTTCCATATCACAAAGGGAAAGCTGGGTTTGAGTTCGGGGGTAATTGCCCTAAACGTTAAGGAATTTGGGGCCAAAAAGGGGCCAAAAAACAAGCATTTTTCTAGTTTCCAGACAATAACTTGTGTTCAAGTGTATGCATCTCTCTGAAATTGTACTGCAAGGTACCATACCACAAAGGGAAGGCTGGGATTGAGTTTGGGGGTGATGAATCATAAGGGGGTTCAAAAAATTGGGGGGGGGGGGGATTTTTTTTTCCTTTTTTTTCTTTAAAATTTTCCATTTTAAATTGGTTATTTCTGATTTATATGTAAAAGCAAATAATAATGATATGGTTTGAATAGGTCAATTAAAAATTTTTAAGTTCTTAGACCACTTTCATTCTGTGTCAGAAACGTATGCTGTGTCAAATATTTAATTACTATCCAAATTCAGTGCTGTATCAAGCTTGAATGTTGTGTCCATACTTGCCCCAACTGTTCAGGGTTCGACCTCTGCGGTCGTATCAAGCTGCGCCCTAGCGGAGCATTTTATTGAACATCATTTTATAACCGGATTAGAAGTAAAAATTGGTTATTGATTTGGGGATGTACGATGGACGGGCGGGCGGCTGCCAAACAGTGTCTGTTCATTTACATGAAAACAATTTGAAGAATTTTTTTCAAATTTAGATATGTTGACTTGTTGTTCCCTGTGACTAAATGAAGGTCAAGTTCAATTTTCACGATTTTAGATTGTTGCTCAGTTAGAGCCCTTTCCCAAGAATTCAATTTTTGATGAATTAATACATTTCTGTACAAAGGGAAATAACTCATTTTTTAAAAGATTTTTAAAAGACATTGTATTAATGATAAATGACATTTTGGATATTTTTTTTCTTTTCTTTGGTAAATTGTTTGAACAATTTTGTGGTAGGTTTGTTTGTTATTCTGTATAAACTAATTTTCTGAATGCTATATATATATATAATTTTTTTTTATGAAGTGAACTCCTTTTATTAGATAATAATCTTAATTTTATTATAGGATATATTTCATTACATTTAAAGTTGTTGACATTGATCATAGATAAGTTGCAGATCTGTATTAGTTTGTGACAAATGAAAGAAAAAATATTTGGAACTATTAATTATATTTGAATATAATTTGAAAATAGATATAGTTTGTGTTACATCATATCTAATTTTAGAGAACTATTAATCATATATAATATTAAGAGTACTATGTTAAACCATATTTCTGTTCAAAGGGAAATAACTCAAACTTATTTTATGAACACATGATAACATCAAAATTTCTTTATAATTTTTTTTTTAAGTCATGTGTGTTATGAAGGTAGATGTCACAGTTGTTATGTGGTATTTTATTTTTGTTGTGTGTGCACGTGTTAATGTTTAATTTTTACATGATCCTGTTTGGGGTTCAGATTTGCAAATATCATTTTCATTATTAATTAGATAATAATCTATTTTAAATATTCAATCACAATCCAAATTCAGAGCTGTTTTAAGCTTAAATGTTGTGTTCATACTTGCTCAACTGTTCAGGGTTCGACCTCTGCAGGAAAATCTGGTTTGCTGTCACTCGACAGCCTCTTGTTATATCTGATTTTAATTAAAATTATCAATATTGTAATCATTTTGTCTATAATTGTATTCGTCTGCATTAACTTACTTGTTGTTTTCAGACTATAGAACTCAGCAAGCATGCCTCCACCTCCACCTCCGCCTCCTGCTCCGCCCTCAGCTCCAGGACCACCCCCTCCATCTTCAAGTAAAGCCAGTAAGCCATCTGGCAACAGAGACAGAGGGGCACTACTGGGTCAGATAAACAACTTCAAAGGAGCAAAGTTAAAGAAAGTACAAACCAATGATAGGAGTTCACCATTAGTAGGGGGCAAGTAAAAGACACACATTTAATACTTTCATTTAATGCATTTTCAATAATTTATTAGTGGTTGTCAGGAGTCAACAAAATTTGCTAGCTCTTTATTTTGAATATCAATTTATGAAATGAATATGCATGCAAACATCCATCCATTTTAGCTTTTTTTAGATACAAATGTTTAATATTTAGTTTGAATAAACTAAATGAAAGAAGTATTTCTGTGAAATATTTTGTTAATTAAAAATGTTTGTGTTCAGGTAAAAAGCCTGCAGGGCCTATGGGAGGAGGAGGACCACCTCCACCTGGTCCAGGGAAGTTTGCTACTGTAGCAGGGCGTACCAGCAATGCTCATTCAGATATTCCTAACCAATGGAAAGGCTCACAAGATGATGGTATGTTTATTTCATGATCAATTACTATGATACATACATTAATATATATAGAGATACATGAAAAATAATGTAGTAGGGATGTGGACAATTTTATCAAATTGTGTTTCAAGTACTTGCAGATCAAATGTGAGATTCTAGAACTTTTTGATAAAATAATTTACTCAATGTGGTTCCTAATGGGGTAATGCTGCATATTGAGACTTAAATAGTTAGATTGAATTCATATCTGATGTTCTTTTTATGGATTTCAGTTACCCAAACAATTGGCAAAGCACAATGTTGTTTTTAAAAATGTTGCAAACGCTAGTAACTCAGTATATTATGCATAGAAGCCTGACTGAACAGCTGTTTTTCTAGATATTCTTTTTTAGTCAGATTTGTATTCAGGTAACCCTACAGCCATTTAAACAACATTCTACAGCCTTTTAAATACATTAACAGAAATTTGAAAAGTGGAAGTCACAAAAACTAGTGATTCCTTTTTTTTTTTTAGTTAAAATTTGATTTTTCAAAATCTGACTGGGACACTTAGTCTGATCTAGAAATTCATCTAACTGCCTTCTAATCATATAGTTAAAGACAGCCTATTTGTCCACTTGATGCAAGTTACAGGCAAACAGAACATTTTAAATCATCAATTCCTCAGCCATAGTCTAACCAATCACACATCATTTATTCCCATACTGTTGAAAATTTGCTTTCTATTAGCTTGAAATTGGATCTGCTCAGTTTGAACTTAGCTTGCCTTCTTTGCGGTGGCTGAATGGTGTTCACAATTTGTGTAATATCAATTATAAAATGGTTAAATGACAGCCAGCTCTTTTGAATTATACAGACTAATGATTAATAAAATACAAGTACATGTATCACCCTTAAAGATTTAATTGATTTTATGAGATTGAATATTTATTTGTATTGCTGGGTAGAATGATAAATTTGAAGCATCCATACACAAATTTTCGAATGTCAAAGTAGATCTTTAGATTCACTGCTTTGTTAAATTGTATGAAAACTGACTCTTGCGCTAAGCAGAGTATTTCAGTAGACTGGTGCAGATTCTGTTATTCTCTTTCTTTTTTTCAAATTTATTATAAGATTTGTAAATGTTAAGAACTGCTAAAATACTAATTTATCAGGTCTAGTAAACAATATGATGATAAATATACCATATATATATGTATACATATATACTTTCGACATTTTAGGAATGGGTTATAAAAGTTTATTCTATAGTACCCTGTATTTTTATTAGTACATGTAACTTATAGCTTAGTTGCCAAATGCTGTTTACAGGACCTTCTGTTGAATTTAGAAAGGAGAGAAGTAGAAAGATGAGCTTAGAATTTAGAACTATTACTCTGAGGAGGAAAACATTAAAAACATCTCATTCTGTTGATGATTTTCGCACTGGTAACACAAATTTATTTCATGGGTTTTTTTTAATTTATTTTCAGAATTGCATGTATCAGAGAAAGGTGTATAATTTTTATTCTACTCAATCATAAATTTCTTATGTGATTTTTATTGAAAGATGCTGTAAAACATTTGTCATTTATTTTTATTTTCAATAACATCAACTAACATTTGTGGCATGGTCATTTTATTATGCAGGTGATTTATACTTTTTACTAATATAGATGTTCAGATATGTATACATTTTGAGATTTTTTTTGGGGTATTTCAGATATTCCTCTTGTTTTAAAAGCAAAATAATGAAAAGAAATAAGCTTTTTCAGAGATTGCACATGAAAAAAGATAACATGCAATTTGCAGAGTATTGAATTTGTTGTTTCTAAACCCCTGAAGGGATCATGATGATGATTTAAAAACTGGACAAAATTCCCTTGGAATTGTAATACATGTACATGTGTATGCCTTTACAAAGCAATAGATACAAGTTCAATTTGTGATTATTTTTACCATAACCTTTGCAGATTAATGTCTCTTGACCTTGAATCAATGATAAATGCTAAACTATGATACCTATGTTTTAATTTTTTGTTAGAAAAATAGAGAGAAAAAAAGATATTTTAGTTTGAGCACAATTGACATGTTAACAGCTCTTTATATTTCTGCCACACTTTTGGATGGATCATAAAGATTTACCAATGCCTCTCCATCTGTACATGTATGTCTATTAGACTAATTCAGAGTTTGCCCAGTCTGTATGTCAGATTGGTGTATCTATGATATAATACATTCCTATAACACTGCATCCCATTCTACATTGTTCTAAAACCCATTAGTATTATACTGTGGAATGATCTTTTTTAATTCTGCAATACCTTATAGTGACATCTGTTCACTTTAATGCTCAAAAATTTGTTTGAAAACTTCCTGATCATTCTTTACATTATTTGGTTATCATGGTTATCAGAGAGTCAGTTTGTGAGACAGGTGATAAACCCACTCATGTATTGAGCTTGTTTAAATATCTTTAAAATCAATAGACAACAATGATTAAAAAGGAAATAGATCAACTTCCTGTGTAAATATGTCCTTACTGTATATTGTTCTTTCTGATAAAACAATGTCAGGCTGCAGAAAAAGGTAGCTGTTGAAATACTTGCACACTAAACAATTTCCTTGTTTGTCAAATGTCCCACGGGAATTTCTGTTTCAGTTTGGTAATAAGTTTTATGGGTGTAGAAAACATAAATCATTGGAAATAGGTGACAGACCATACAGTTTAGTGGAGATAATGATATTGTACCATTGTACCAGGTTTTTTTTTTACATTTTGATAATTGGATTTAACTACAGGACTCAAAATCTGAAATAAAAAAATTGTACAAAATAACCTAACAGATTGGTTGCAAACAATATGTTTTGCTCTTCTATTTAAAACATAAAACAAATTTTCATATTTAGTAAAGATTTGTGTCTTTTTTGTACTGAATACTCATAATTTCTCTAGGACACATCATTAAATTTAAATTAAAATTAAACACTTTCAGGAACATTTTAAAAAGTTTTAATCAAATTGGCCCCTGAATTGCAAAAATAGTGAAATTGCTCAAGTCTTTCAAAATTAAGTTAATTGTATTGTTAAATCCACAGGTTTCTGTTAATACAGAAATTATTGTGAGATTTTAATTAATTCGAATAATGCAACCTGGTGAGAATTGCAATAATAAGAACTCGCATTCTGATATCTGTATGCAGATTTTCCTGAAATTACAATAATTAATCTTGCATCTTTGTCCTTTCTTCAAAAATCCCAAAAATAAATGCATGCAATAATTTCTGAATTTTCGTAAAATAATCTCGGCACATTAGTGAAGAAAGGTCACTGTGATATCCTAAATATGTTGAAATTGACATATTTGACCGAAAATTTGACAAAAAAGTTATCTTATCATATCTTCTTCTTTAACATATTTCACATGTTACACAAGAACTCAGTCAAATTTTTGAAATCAAACAATTTTGCTGACATGTGATCACTGGGCCATGTAAGCTATTCCAATAGCTATGTATCTGCCGTCATCATAATGTTCTCCATAACAACAGTCACCTAAAAAAAAATTTTAGAAAAGAAAAACTGTTATTCAGCAGATTGATTATTTTAATGACACAATTATGATACTGTTTTTGTTTATGACGACCTCATTGGCCTTAAAAGCCTCTTGTTATGGTTGTTCAAGTGGCTAATATTTCATGCATACTTAGTACTAGTTTTTGTCAACATACATGTATGAAGTGTCTGCATTCATTATATAGACAAAAAGACAAACTGATCATGAAGTTCTGTTTCATAATTTTTGACCACCACATCCAATTTCATCACAATTATATTTTACATTAAAGGTAGTGTTATACTATATACTTGTTATATCAATAATAAGACAGGAAGTAACTGAAGTAGCTTCCTCTTAACCTTCATTTTAATGTAACTGGTAGTAATGTGATCAATCTTTACATGTGATTTAGAAAAAACTTTGATGTTGCTAGAAGTAAAAACAAGTGATATTTTGCAGTGTTAGCTTGTGCCAATACTTTGTTTACTAAGATTGTTTTGCTTATCAAATTTCTGATGTTAACTGAGTCATTTGTTCATATTCCAATACTTATTTTAATGTACTAGTAGTCCCGTATGATTATTTAAAAAATATACCTTTACATCAAGGCTTTTGCACTTAAATCTTAGATTCTTTTATACACATATGTAATAACTTAAATGTTGTTTAAGCTTTTAAGTTTACTTTGAGGTATCATCCAGACTACTTTTGTTCCCCTGTCTGCCTTATACAATGATAAACATTTACTTTTCAATGAGAAAACAGCACATAAAGACATAAGGTGTCACTTGATGGCTACTCATGTTCACCTGTCTGCCTTATAGATTGATAAAAAGTTACTTTTCAATGAGAAAACAACACATAAAGACTTGAGGTATCATTTGATGGCTACTCATGTTCCCCTGTCTGCCTTATAGATTGATAAAAAGTTACTTTTCACTGAGAAAACAACACATAAAGACTTGAGGTATCATTTGAAGGCTACTTGTGTGCCCCTGCCTGCCTTATGGAATGATAAAAAGTTACTTTTCAATGAGAAAACAGCACATAAAGATATGAGGTATCATTTGAAGGCTACTCATGTTCCCCTGTCTGCCTTATAGATTGATAAAAAGTTACTTTTCACTGAGAAAACAACACATAAAGACTTTGAGGTATCATTTGAAGGCTACTCATGTTCCCCTGTCTGCCTTATACAATGATAAACATTTACTTTTCAATGAGAAAACAGCACATAAAGACATAAGGTGTCATTTGAAGGCTACTTGTGTTCCCCTGTCTGTCTTATAGATTGATAAAAAGTTACTTTTCAATGAGAAAACAGCACATAAAGACATGAGGTATCATTTGAAGGCTACTCATGTGCCCCTGTCTGCCTTATGGAATGATAAAAAGTTACCTTTCAATGAGAAAACAACACATAAACCCATGAAGCATCATTTGAAGGCTACTCATGTTCCCCTGTCTGCCTTATGGATTGATAAAAAGTTACTTTTCAATGAGAAAACAATACATGAAGGCATGTGGTAACATTTGAAGGCTACTCATGTTCCCCTATCTACCTCATAGAATGATAAAAAGCTACCTTTCAACAAGAAAGCAATACATACAGACACGAGGCTACTGTTCCCTTATGCCTATTTGCCTTATGGATTGATAAAAAGTTTGTTTCAATGGTAAAACAATGCATAAAGACTTGAGGTATCATTTGAATGCTACTTGTGTTCCCCTGTCTGCCTTATGGAATGATAAAAAGTTACTTTTCAATGAGAGAACAACACATAAAGACTTGAGGTATCATTTGAATGCTACTTGTGTTCCCCTGTCTGCCTTATGGAATGATAAAAAGTTACTTTTCAATGAGAGAACAACACATAAAGACTTGAGGTATCATTTGAAGGCTACTCATGTTCCCCTGTCTGCCTTATGGAATGATAAAAAGTTACTTTTCAATGAGAAAAAACAATACATAAAGACTTGAGGTATCATTTGAAGGCTACTCGTGTGCCCCTGTCTGCCTTATGGAATGATAAAAAGTTACTTTTCAATGAGAAAACAGCACATAAAGACATGAGGTATCATTTGAAGGCTACTCATGTTCCCCTGTCTGCCTTATGGAATGATAAAAAGTTACTTTTCAATGAGAAAACAGCACATGAAGACTTTGAGGTATCATTTGAAGGCTACTCGTGTTCCCCTGTCTGCCTTATGGAATGATAAAAAGTTACTTTTCAATGAGAAAAAAACAATACATAAAGACTTGAGGTATCATTTGAAGGCTACTCGTGTTCCCCTGTCTGCCTTATGGAATGATAAAAAGTTACTTTTTTCAATGAGAAAACAACACATAAAGACAAGGCATTTTACTCCTGAATGACAGTGAGTACAAGTATATATGCCTGATCAATGAATTTTAAAGTTATTCATGGCCAATAATCACGTTTAAGACAAGAGCATGGTAGATTTACCATTAAAACACAATTGAATGGCACAAATGAGTATTGTATATTGAAGTGCATATCTCTTTTAAATAACTTCACATACAAATTTTTAGGTGCAGTGTAAGTGATTGATTGGTTCATTTTTATACCTCAGTAGCTTTCCTGGTAGAACATATGTTACAAATTCTATTATAGAAATATGTATGTACAAATATGTCAATAATATTACTGTAATATACTCAATATAACCTGAAAAAGAATGTTGTCTGTTTAAATGTAATTGTTTATAGCTATAGCATTGATTTATTTTTGTAGGTCCAGTTGGTGGAGGCCCTCCTGTTGGTCTTGGTGGATTATTTGCTGGAGGAATTCCAAGATTACCAAATAAAGGTGGTGCTAAGTTTAATGTTGGTGGTGGACCAAAAGGTGAGGGTTAAATTGTTGACCTTGGTTTGATGTATTACCTCTATAGAATATGATTATAACCCTAGAAGCATGATTTATCTTTTTTTTTCAGAGGTAAATTCCATCAAGTGTATTTTAATATTTTTTATAAAATCTACACGAAAATATACAGTTTTGTTATTTAAATTTTGTTGATAAATTTCTTTTTCTATATGTTGAATTTGTTCAGTAGAAATATGTGTGAAAAAGATCATTGAAATTATCTGTGAAAAAAGGGTCATATATATTTTTCTAGCTCCTGAGTCACTATATTTGTCAATAGAAATGAATTATGGCAATTGGACATGGAAAATTTCACTAATACATGCACATTTTTATGCCCCTGCTGAAGGCAACGGGAGCATCAAGTGTTACCCTTGACCGTCCCTCCCATTTTCGTTTCAGCACTCTTAGCTTAAGTTTGCCTCATACAAATTTTATGAAACTCATACACAACAAGCAGATAGAGTTCCAATTTGGGTTGTTGGACATTTACCATTCTAAAGTTATGCCCCTTTTTAACTTCTTCTTTTATTCTTCTTTGTTTTTAAGTCGTCTTTATTCATATTCATTTTAATTGTCATACTTTAGACATTATTATTGGAAATTTCATTAAAATAACAGTTTTCTTTTTTTCAGCCTTATTTGTAGATTGTAGGCTGTTAGTTGGGTTATAATTGTATAATGTTTGTTTCCAATCACATTTGAGTATTGTCTAGGTGCTACACTTTTGATTGCCCTTTTTATGGTCATTAGATTTAGAAAATTCATGAAAGTCTTTTGTCTCCTCCATTGGCAGCCCTCAGTGGAGACAATGAGAAGTTATATGTATGACCATGATGACTTTTGTTATGGTTTATCTACTTTTGACCATATAAATACCATGTGACTTGGGAAGATTGCAAATATAAATAACTATGACTAAGCCTGTTTAAAATTCTTTTATCTGCTAAGTTTTCAGGAATCCTAGGGATATTATGCTGTTCTATGGTATTTATTTGTAAAATTACTATTACAGTTAACCTTATTTAAAAATCTTGTTTATGGTGACTTTCCAGTTCTACCATTTTTGTCTCGCCTTGACGGAGTATTATGCTGTCGCCGGCGTCTGTGTCTGCGGCGGCCTCAACAATGTATTAGTTTGTGATTAGGTCTAGTTCATGGTGAACCACTAGTGGTAGGTCAATGATATTTGGTATGCAGTTGTATTAGCATTGGCACATTTCATTACCATGGAGATTATTTGGCCCCGCCCCCTCAGTCAAGGTCTATTGAATTTGAAATTTTGCTTAGTTTACATGTATTAGTTTGTGATTAGGTCAGTTTATGGGGAACCACTAGTGGTAGGTCAATGATATTTAGTATGCAGTTGTTTAAGCATTGGCGTATCTCATTTCCATGGAGATTATTTGGCCTTGTCCCCTCATTCATGGTCTATTGACTTTGAAACTTTTGCTTAGTTTTCATGTATTAGTTTGTGATTAGGTCAGTTTAAGGGGAACCGTTAGTGGTAGGTCAATGATAATTGGTATGCAGTTGTATAAGCATTAGCACATCTCATTTCCATGGAGAATATTTGGTCCTTACCCCTCAGTCATGGTGTATTGACTTTGAAACTTTTGCTTAGTTTACATGTATAAGTTTGTGATTAGGTCAGTTTAAGATGAACCACTAATGTTAAGTCAATGATATTTGGTATGCAAATGTATTGGTATTTGCAATTTTAATTTCCATGGAGATTATATAACCCCACCCCCTAATTATGGTTCATTGACTTTGAAATTTTTACATAGTTTACAAGTTAATGATTGTGTTTAGGTTTGTTTAAAGGGAACGACTTATGAAAAGTCAATGGTATTTGGTTTACAGTTGTATTAGCATTGGCACATCTCATTTCCATGGAGATTGTTGAGCCCTGTACCTTCAGTCATGGTTCATTGACTTTGAATATTTGCATAACTTACATGTTCAAGTATTGCTATTTTAATTTCAACATTCACATTATTAAAATAACAAATAGGTGAGACATATCTCTGTGTTAACAATTTATTAACCTGAATTATGACTGATTTACTAAGACAAGAGAATATGTTCAAGATTTATAGTAGATATGGAGGTGTTTCTGAGTAAGGATCCGGAAATTTTTCACACAATTTCTGTCATTTTGAGATGACTTGAAAGTTTGGGTCTTTTTTCAAACTGTCGAAAATATTCACACTAGATTCATGGCATCAACAAACTTGTATTGACTGGTTACATAGCATTTTCTTCAAGAAGTTTCTTACCAGTTTTTCTTAAAACATTCAACAATTTATGGAATGCAACAGTTTGAAACTGAAATGACCAAAAACGGTAAATTTCTCAGGAATTGCCAACACTTCTTTCTATTTTGAAATAAAAACCCGAAGTTTTAAGTTAATACTAAAATAAGAGTGATTCCGGATTTATTTACAGGATTTGCTCTTGTTTATCAAATGACAGAAAATCATTGTATTTTTATACGACCGCAAATTTTTTACGGTTGTATATTGGTATGACGTTGGCGTCGTCATTGTCGTCCGAAGACACATTGGTTTTCGCACTCTAACTTAAGTTTAAGTGAATGGATCTCTATGAAATTTTCCCATAAGGTTCAATACCACAAACGGAAGGTGGGGATTCATTTTGGGGGTAATGGTATCAACAGTTAAGGAATTAGGGGCCAAAAAGTAACTTCCAGACATAACTTGTGTGTTAGTGTATGGATCTCTCTGACATTGTATCACAAGGTTCCATATCACAAAGGGAATGCTGGGATTGATTTTGGGGGTAATTGCCTCCAAATTTTAGGAATTAGGGGCCGAAAAGGGGCAAAAAACAAGCATTTTTCTAGTTTCATGACAATAACTGGTGTGTAAGTGTATGGATCTCTCTGACATTGTACCACAAGGTTCCATATCACAAAGGGAAATCTGGAATTGAGTTTGGGGGTAATTGCCCAGAACGTTTAGGAATAAGGGGCCAAAAAGGGGCCAAAAATAAGCATTTTTATACGCCTGTCAAATTTTTGACGGGACGTATTATGGTATACAAATGTCCGCCGTCCGTCTGTCTGTCTGTCCGTCTGTCTGTCCGGCGTAAACATTTTGCACCGTAACTTGAGAATTACTTATCCAAATTTCATGAAACTTAACATAGTTGTTTCTTATGATGGTCAAACGATCTGTATACTTTTTGGTGAAAATAAGATTAAAACTTTTTGAGTTACGGGACTTAGTAACTAAAACCGGTGTGTGTTTTTTTTCACATGTCGCGCCGTATCTCAAAAACAATTTATGGTTATTGCTTAAAACTTTACACACTTCTTAGTTATATTAATCTTAAGATCTGTATACTTTTTGGTGATGATTCAAAATTTTATTTTAGAGATATTGAGTATTTTGTTAAAAAAGGGGGAGGGGTTTTTCACATGTCGCGCCGTATCTCAAAAACAGTTTATGATTATTGCTTAAAACTTTACACACTTCTTAGTTATATTAACCTTAAGATCTGTATACTTTCTGGTGATGATTCAAAATTTTATTTTTGAGTTATTGAGTATTTTGTAAAAAAAGGGGGAGGGGTTTTTCACATGTCGCGCCGTATCTCAAAAACGATTTATGATTATTGCTTAAAATTTTACACACTTCTTAGTTATATTAATCTCAAGATCTGTATACTTTTTGGTTTTGATTCAAAATTTTATTTTTGAGATATTGAGTTTTTTGTAAAAAAAAAAAAGGGGGTTTTCGCATGTCACGCCGTATGTCAGAAACTATTTATGCTTATTGCATAAAAATTCACACACAAGACGACGAGCGTAGCTGTTTATTCAAGTTTCCAGACAATAACTTGTGTTCAAGTGTATGGATCTCTCTGAAATTGTACTGCAAGGTACCATACAAACAAAGGGAAGGCTGGGATTGATTTTGGGGGTAATTGCCTCAAAATATTAGGAATTGAGGGCCATAAAGGTGCAAAAAAACAAGCATTTTTCTAGTTTCAGGACAATAACTTATGTGTAAGTGTATGGATCTTTATGAAATTAAACTACAAGGTTCCATATCACTAAGGGTAAGCTGGGTTTGTGTTTGGGGGTAATTGCCCTAAACGTTTAGGAATTTGGGGCCAAAAAGGGGCCAAAAAACAAGCATTTTTTTGGTTTCCAGACAATGACTTGTGTTCAAGTGTATGGATCTCTCTGAAATTGTACTGCAAGGTACCATACCACAAAGGGAAGGCTGGGATTGAGTTTGGGGGTGATGAATCATAAGGGGGTTCAAAAAATTTTGTGGGGGGGGATTTATTTTTCCTTTTTTTCCTTTAAAATTTTCCATTTTAAATTGGTTATTTCTGATTTATATATAAAAGCAAATAATAATGATATGGTTTGAATAGGTAAATTAAAATTTTTTAAGTTCTTAGACCACATTCATTCTGTGTCAGAAACCTATGCTGTGTCAAATATTTAATTACAATCCAAATTCAGTGCTGTATCAAGCTTGAATGTTGTGTCCATACTTGCCCCAACGGTTCAGGGTTTGACCTCTGCGGTCCTATCAAGCTGTGCCCCAGCAGAGCATTTTATTCATTTTGGTCTATATGCAAGCCTGTTTAAAAGCTTTTTTGGTGGCAAGGCATCTAATTTTAGGTTTTAATGGGTAAAATAGATTATATAATTCAGGGCTCATCACACCAGGCTAAGAAAGCAAAATATTCTCCCTGCTAGGATTTCAGATATCGCTTTAAAAACTTGAAAATATATATACTGACAATTGTATCATGATTTTATTATGTTTTGATAGGTCCTGCTGCTGCTTTTAAGCCACCAGGACGTTCTCCTAATGGTCCGGTAAATTTTAGGAAGGAATCACCAGCAATGAATGGACCATCTTCTAGGCCAGGTGGAGCTCCACCTCCTCCTTCATCATCCACAAAACCAAGATTCAATTTACACAGGACAAGTAGTAATGGTGAAAATTTGGATAGGACTGAATTAGCTCCACCCCCTCCACCACCAAGTAATAAACCATTTCATAGGAGTGACGGTAACATTCACCGCTCATCATCAGAATTTCCTCCGCCACCACCACCAAGCAGTAAAAAACCGAATTTACATAACGACAATAGGAAGAGTGATATACCTCCTCCTCCCCCTAGTGGAAATAAACCTAATTTTGGTGGGGCACCACCACCACCTCCTAGTGCCAATAAATCTAGTGTTAATGGACCTTCATGGAAAAAAGGAGGTAGTGCACCACCACCACCTTCCAATAGTAACAAACCAAATTCAAATGGACCATCATGGAAAACAGGTGGAACAGTACCCCCTCCCCCACCTTTTTCATCAAAACCACAAGCTCAAAATGGAACTTCATCTGAAGAAAGTCCTAGAGATTCAAGGTCAAGTATTGGTAGTAGACCGAGTTCAGGGATTGCAGGTGGTATGCCAAGAAACCCTCCTCCACCCCCTCCACCAGGAAGGCCACCTTCAAACAGACCACCATCAAGTAGTGGCAGACCATCTAGCATGGTAGGGAGGCCATTACCTCCTCCGCCTTCACAGGTAAATTATATCAATTACAAATGCTTTGAATTGTACACACAAAGATAAACAAAGGCTAAGCAAAAGAAACAAGGAAATATCTTCAGTTTAATACTTAAAGTCAAATTCTAGTCAAATATTACATAATGATAATAGATTGATAACTGGAATTTGAGGTAAATATCAATAACATCGCCACCCAATAACACAATCAAAATAGACATCCTAAAATTGGCTAAAAATGTACTGGACTTAAACTTATGGATAGGCCTAAATTACATTGAAGTTAGACAAGGTGTTAAAGAAAGTACAGAGGATAAATATATGACTCAAACTGAAACAAAGATTCCTTGTAAAGAAAAAAACAAAATAAGTTGAACTTTTTATGTGTTCTTATTTAAAGGTGCTTGAGGACAGGACCCTGTGTTGAGCCCCTGAGCCCTCATAGTCCCTCCCTTCATTATCATAAATCCCCATTTTTGATTTTGCCTGCGACTTATGTCGCAGAAAGTCGCAGAAAGCTGGACATAGGGATAGTGATCCAGCAGCGGCTACGGCGGCGGCGTTAGCTAACTTCTTAAAAGCTTTATATTTAAGAAGCTAGAAGACCTGGATGCTTCATACTTTGTATATAGATGACTTATGTACAAAGTTACGTCTGTCATATGTCCATTGTCCTTGATCTCATTTTCATGGTTCAGTGACTACTTGAAAAAAAAGTCAACATTTTTTGTAATGTTAATTTCTTTCTTATTATGAGTAAAAGGATAACTATATTTAGTATGTGCATACCTTGCAAGGTCCTCATGCCCGTCAGACAATTTTCATTTGACCTCGACCTCATTTCATGGATAAGTGAACAAGGTTAAGTTTTCGTGGTCAAGTCCATATATCAGATACTATAAGCAGTAGGTCTGTTATATTTGGTATATGGAATGATTGTAAGGTGTACATGTCCAACTGGTAGGTGTCATCTGACCTTGACCTCATTTTCATGGTTCAGTGGTCAAAGTTAAGTTTTTGAGTTTTGGTCTTTTTTTCTAATACTATATGCAATAGGTCAACTATATTTGGTGTATGGAAATATTTTATGATGTACATGTCAGTCTCGCAGGTTTTATTTGACCTTGACCTCATTTTCAAGGATCATTTCTCAGTGTTAAGTTTTTGTGTTTTGGTCTGTTTTTCTTCAACTATAAGCAATAGATCAACTATATTTGTTGTATGGAAGGATTGTACAGTGTATATGTCTGTCTGGCAGGTATCATCTGACCTTGACCTCATTTTCATGGTTCATTGGTCAATGTTAAGTTTTCATGGTTAAGTTTGTTTCTTAAATACTATAAGCAATAGGTCAACTATATTTAATGCATACATTGATTGTAAGGTGTACATGTCTGTCTGGCATGGTTCATCTGACCTTGACCTCATTTTCATGGTTCATTGGTCAATGTTAAGTTTTCTTGGTTAAGACTGTTTCTAAGAGAAACTATAAGCAATAGGTCAACTATGTTTCGTTTATCGAATTTTGTTCCAGAGTAATGATTTTGTGCAGAGTTATGGTCTTTGGACTTAGAAAATTCACTAAAATAATCATTTCCTCACTTTTTTTCGTCATGCTTGAAGATATTGATTGGATAATTGGTAAATATTTTAATCATGACAAGTTACAGATCAAGGTCGAATTTTGTTATGGTCCTTGGACTTAAAAAATTCACTCAAATAATCAATCTTCCACACTATTTTTGGCATGCTTGAAGATATTGACTTGATATTTTTTATATAGTTAACACCATGACAAGTTATAGATCAAGTTAGCATTTTGTTCTAGTACAATGAATTTTTAAACCGGTAGGGGACTATGTATTGCCAGGCAATACTCACAGAATGCTTGTTACTCTAAATATTGCATGTTTACTATGATATCAATTCGCCACTCAACTATTCCGTGAATTCAGTTTTATTTATTATTTCCTTTATCATACTTGAGGGATATAATTTAACAAGTCATATTGTTTAAGAGTTGGGGAAGTATTACAATGATCTTAAAGGTTCCTCATTTCAGTGATCACATTAATTATATATATGTGTTAAAAAAAACACTAGATAATATCCATATTATTTGTCATTTAAAATGTCCTGTTTACCTGTGACCTGTATTGAGGTAAGACGTTAATTAATTACAAATAAAGCTTCCGTTTCAGTGAAAACATAGATTTATATCGTAAAGAAATGTAAACTGAAGATAAGAAGTCTGTCCAGTAAACTTTTCAGGAGTTTTTACATTGTAAATTCATTGTATTTAACACTAAGACAAATTTTAAAAGTAATTTGATGTTCACATGTATCCAATAGCACTGTGTAAAACAGTTACATGCATTATTGAAATACATTGAATGTTTTAAATATTAGGAAGGAAATTAAAAATGAAACTTAATTTCTGCAGATAATTAAAGATAGTTGAAGGTTTAAATACCAATTAGTTTGTAATAAACAGCAGGAAAACAACAATTTTGTTTGATCTATAAATACATTAAATAATCAGAGACTCCAAACTGCTGTTTGCATGTATTAAGTTGATTGTTCAAATAATGTTGACAACAGTTTGTATACATACTTTAAATTTAATAAATACATAAAACTGGACAGTGATAAGGACCATAAATCAGTGTTTACACCAGGTCTTTGACCACATTTCTCAAAGAAGTATAGAACAAATGTACACCCCCTATGTAAATAAAACTTCTTATATGGTCATTGTTATAAAATGCCAAAGTGATAAGCAGCATTACTGTATAGAAGAGAAATGTCTGTCATGATAATACAGGGTCATCATAAAAGGTATACTGTGGATTCATTTATTTTTGTTGGTACATGTACCAATTTTGGTGGATTGAGGAAATCTAATGTTAGCATTTCATTGATATTTGATGTCGTGGTTTTAACAAATTCTGCATTTATTCCTGTAGATAATTTGATATTCTTTGAACATTTAAATTAGTGGTTTCTCTGTACCCACGAAATCCTCGAAAATCTAACTTTAGTTTGCCTCAACCAAATGTTATGAAACTTATACACAATGCTTATTACCACAAAACACAGATCAAGTTTAAATTTGGGTGACGTCACTTTTACCTTTCTGGAGTTATGCCCCTTTACAAATGTAAAAATTTGCTTAATTTTTCATTTCCGTTCTCTAATTATATAACTTAAGTTTGCCTCAACCAAATGTTATGAATCTTATACACAATGCTTATTACTACAAAACACAGATCAAGTTTGAATTTTGGTGGCGTCACTTGCATCGTTCTAGAGTTATTCTCCTTTACAAATCAAAAAATTGCTGAAATTTTCAATTCCGTTCTCTAACTTAAGTTTGCCTCAACCAAATGTTATGAAACTTATACACAATGCTTATTATCACAAAATACAGATCAAGTTTGAATTTGGGTGACGTCACTTTTATCTTTCTGGAGTTATGCCCCTTTACAAATGTAAAAATTTGCTTAATTTTTTATTTCCGTTCTCTAATTATATTACTTAAGTTTGCCTCAACCAAATGTTATGAATCTTATACACAATGCTTGTTACCTCAAAACACAGATCAAATTTGAATTTTGGAGGTGTCACTTTTACCGTTCTAGAGTTATGCCCCTTTATAATGTTATATGCAAGCGTGCATCATCTGTGTCCCATGGACACATTCCCTATTTATTTTATAAATTTTTGCAATAGGAAATAACACATAGGAATGGCAAACAGTATCACTGCTTATTCAAATCTTATTGATTGATTGATTGATTGAATGATGTTTTACACCACTTTCAGCACTATTGGCTCAAACCTTATTTGAAAAGCATATATATTTTGATGGTTTTCATATATTATACATAACCTTTTATGGAGTTTTGTTACATAAGCACCTATTTTGCAATCCCATTGTTACCATAAATGTGTAATGCACTTATGAAGTGAAAGATCACGCACATTACACCATGCTATGTATATAGACAGGGATACAGTTTGTCCTACCTAGGTGTTGAGGTATTAAGGTAGTTCAGTCTCTTGATTTTTATACGACCACAAAAAAATTTTTGTGGTCGTATATTGGTATGACGTTAGCGTCGTCGTCGTCGTCCGAAGACGCATTAGTTTTTCGCACTCTAACTTTAGTTAAAGTGAATGGATCTCTATGAAATTTTACCATAAGGTTCAATACAACAAAAGGAAGGTGGGGATTGATTTTGGGGGTTATGGTACCAACAGTTAAGGAATTAGGGGCCAAAAAAGAGCCAAAAATAAGCATTTTCTAGTTTCCAGACAATAACTGTGGAACGGTGTATGGATCTCTCTGAAATTATACTACAAGTTTCCATACCACAAAGGGATGGTTAGGATTTGCTTTGGGGGGTTATGGCTCAAACCGTTTAAGAATTAGGGGCAAAAAAGGGGGAAAACAAGGTTGTCCTGGTTAATGGACAAATACTTTAGTACAAAACATAATATAAAGCAGTGTAAGGGAGATAAATCAAATACATCATTGAAATTATCTCCCTTACACTGCTTTTAAATTATGTATAAAGTAATGGTTAATGAACAATTAAGATAATTTAAAACAGTGTAAGGGAGGTAATCCAAATACAACGTTTTGGTTACTTCCCTTACACTGCTTTTAAATTATGTTTAAAGAAATGCATATTTATAAAGGAAGACCAGTAAAAATATCTGCAAATGTTGCATCTTTTTTTTTTACAAAAAAATCCATATGAAAGATTTGACACTATATTTTAAATTCTATTATAAAATAGATTAAGTTAGCACTATGGTAAATTTAAATGGGTAATTATGGTTTGGGGGGAAAAAAGGGGGGGGGGGTAAAAAGTAATTGTGGGGGGTCAATTTTTTCTCATTTCAGAATTCAGAAATTAAAAAGAATTATTCTTCAAATATTATTTTTTTTTCAAATTTCAAATATTGAAAAATTTCAAGAAGTAATCTTTAATTGCACAGTATGGCGCATTAGATTTGTAAATCTTTGACCACATTTATTTATTTGTTATGCCGAATCTAACCGTGTATTTAGATTTTTAATTTTGGATCCAGTTTTCAAATTGGTCTACATTAAGGTCCAAAGGGTCCAAAATTAAACTTTGTTTGATTTTAACAAAAATTGAATATATGGGGTTCTTTGATATGCTGATTTAGATTTTTGATTTTTGGCCCAGTTTTCAAGTTGGTCCAAATTGGGGTCCAAAATTAAACTTTGTTTGATTTCAACAAAAATTGAATATATGGGGTTCTTTGATATGCTATTTTTTATTTGTGGACCCCGCTATCAAATTGGTTCATATTGAGGTCAAAAGGGTCCAAAATTAAACTTTGTTTGATTTCATCAAAAATTGAATTATTGGGGTTCTTTGATATGCCAAATCTAACCGTGTATTTAGATTTTTAATTTTGGGTCCCGTTTTTTAAATTGGTCTACATTAAGGTCCAAAGGGTCCAAAATTAAACTTAGTTTGATTTTAACAAAAATTGAATTCTTGGGGTTCTTTGATATGCTGAATCTAAACATGTGTTTAGATTTTTGATTATGGGCCCAGTTTTCAAGTTGGTCCAAGTTGGGGTCCAAAATAAAACTTTGTTTGATTTCAACAAAAATTGAATATATGGGGTTCTTTGATATGCTGAATCTAAACATGTATTTAGATTTTAGATTTTTGGCCCAGTTTTCAAGTTGGTCCAAACTGGGGTCCAAAATAAAACTTTGTTTGATTTCAACAAAAATTGAATATATGGGGTTCTTTGATATGCTGAATCTTACCATGTATTTAGATTTTTTATTTGTGGGCCCGCTATCAAATTGGTTCATATTGAGGTCAAAAGGGTCCAAAATTAAACTTTGTTTGATTTCATCAAAAATTGAATTATTGGGGTTCTTTGATATGCCAAATCTAACCGTGTATTTAGATTTTTAATTTTGGGTCCCGTTTTTTAAATTGGTCTACATTAAGGTCCAAAGGGTCCAAAATTAAACTTAGTTTGATTTTAACAAAAATTGAATTCTTGGGGTTCTTTGATATGCTGAATCTAAACATGTGTTTAGATTTTTGATTATGGGCCCAGTTTTCAAGTTGGTCCAAGTTGGGGTCCAAAATAAAACTTTGTTTGATTTCAACAAAAATTGAATATATGGGGTTCTTTGATATGCTGAATCTAAACATGTATTTAGATTTTAGATTTTTGGCCCAGTTTTCAAGTTGGTCCAAACTGGGGTCCAAAATAAAACTTTGTTTGATTTCAACAAAAATTGAATATATGGGGTTCTTTGATATGCTGAATCTTACCATGTATTTAGATTTTTTATTTGTGGGCCCGCTATCAAATTGGTTCATATTGAGGTCAAAAGGGTCCAAAATTAAACTTTGTTTGATTTCATCAAAAATTGAATTATTGGGGTTCTTTGATATGCCAAATCTAACCGTGTATTTAGATTTTTAATTTTGGGTCCCGTTTTTTAAATTGGTCTACATTAAGGTCCAAAGGGTCCAAAATTAAACTTAGTTTGATTTTAACAAAAATTGAATTCTTGGGGTTCTTTGATATGCTGAATCTAAACATGTGTTTAGATTTTTGATTATGGGCCCAGTTTTCAAGTTGGTCCAAGTTGGGGTCCAAAATAAAACTTTGTTTGATTTCAACAAAAATTGAATATATGGGGTTCTTTGATATGCTGAATCTAAACATGTATTTAGATTTTAGATTTTTGGCCCAGTTTTCAAGTTGGTCCAAACTGGGGTCCAAAATAAAACTTTGTTTGATTTCAACAAAAATTGAATATATGGGGTTCTTTGATATGCTGAATCTTACCATGTATTTAGATTTTTTATTTGTGGGCCCGCTATCAAATTGGTTCATATTGAGGTCAAAAGGGTCCAAAATTAAACTTTGTTTGATTTCATCAAAAATTGAATTATTGGGGTTCTTTGATATGCCAAATCTAACCGTGTATTTAGATTTTTAATTTTGGGTCCCGTTTTTTAAATTGGTCTACATTAAGGTCCAAAGGGTCCAAAATTAAACTTAGTTTGATTTAACAAAAATTGAATTCTTGGGGTTCTTTGATATGCTGAATCTAAACATGTGTTTAGATTTTTGATTATGGGCCCAGTTTTCAAGTTGGTCCAAGTTGGGGTCCTAAATTAAACTTTGTTTGATTTCAACAAAAATTGAATATATGGGGTTCTTTGATATGCTGAATCTAACCATGTATTTTGATTTTGGACATTGGACCATAATAGGTAAATTTAAAAAATTGAAGTTCTTAGACCACATTCTTTCTGTGTCAGAAACCTATGCTGTGTCAAATATTTACTCACAATCCAAATTCAGAGCTGTATCAAGCTTGAATGTTGTGTCCATACTTGCCCCAACTGTTCAGGGTTCGACCTCTGCGGTCGTATCAAGCTGCGCCCAGCGAAGCATTTTATTTTGTATTTTTGTAATTTTGTCTTGGTAATATCTTTTGAATTCTTTTACAGGCTCCTACAGCACCTTCATCGAAACCTCCCCCTCCTCCAACTAGAGCACCACAATCAGCAAACCCTCCATCCAGGGTCAACGCTCCACCACCACCACCTCCTCCAACAAGGACAACATCTGCATCACCTGGTACAAGAGGTCCACCGGGCTTAAAGCCCCCGCCACCTCCAATGAGAGGGCCTTCGACTAATGGACATGCTCCACCTCCCCCACAGAGAAGGTCAGGACACTACTCTGGGGGATCAGATGGTTTGTATGCTTTTTGTAGTACAGTTCAAAATTACATAAGTCAAATTTTAATCAATGAAAAATTCCACAAGACTTATGAAAAAATTTTGTTTTTTTTACCTTTACTTAATGTGAACCAGTATGTATTATAATTTAGTAATCTTCTACAGCTGTTTAATTTATATCAATTTGAGAATAGTATTAACAAAGGGTCCAATAAAAAAATCACAAATTAGTTGTTATATTACATTGATGAAAAAGAAGTTAGTATATTGACTGTGATATATTTTTACTAAAACTATATATTACAAAATGTCTACCAAGAAAACTTGGCATTTTCAGTTTATGTTTTGGTTTAAAGGAAAAAACTGATACAAAATTTATTGTATACCAATCAACTTTGGTCAACCATCAAATGGCCATGGTCAGGTCTAAATATTTGCAAGTAGCATTCATAAAATATTGTTTTCATATATGGCTATAATGATTTTACTAGTCCACAAATACTATAAATGATTTAATACCGTAATCGTGCTTGTATAGTTCGCACTGGTACATAGTCCACACTCCCTTCTCGCCAAGAAATTTCAGGTAAAAAACTTTTTGTAACTGTTAGAAAATGTCTAAAGAAACTCTGGTAATTTCAAATTGTGTGTGGTTGTTTGTGGTATTTTCATGGAAAAACCTATTTTCCATCATCAAATAGAAGTTGAAAATGCTTGTTAGTGATACTAGAACACTTCACAAGTGTTAAAATAAGTCAAAATCATAAAACAAAAAACAATTAAGAAACTTGTATATGTTTAAACCGGAAGTTGGAATAGCACGTGTAAATGAAAATAAATACGGTGAGTGTGTACGGAAAATCCATACTTAATAGATATCACTAGAATACGACTTTGAAAGTAAAACAGTTCCATCCTTGAGTAAAATAATGTTTAACATATATCTATTACATTAACATTAATGTTTGAAGGATCTTAAGCTAAAACAAAACACATGCCTTAGTATGAAACACCAAAACGGAACTTATAACCGATTACGTTTTGTAGTTTATACATCGTAAGCTGGTTCCTTGTTGACTTCTACACTTTTTTTGTTCAGTTAAATTCAAGCATCTTCCAGTTTAATTTAAGCAATGCAGTGAAAAGAAACAAGAAATTTGTAGTGAAGCTTTTAATTTTAAAATTTTTAGATTTATAAGTTTATATTTGATAATGAATAAAAATTACATATTAATATGGATTAGGTAAAATTATTAGTTTTGAAAATGATAAGAGTGCCCTTTATAATTTCATTAACAAACATGGCGGAACTATACAAACCTCGCAAATTCGATTTTTTTCTCTCTTATTTCTTGATTATCATACTCTATAGTCTGCACCCCTGTCTGGCAGGTTCAATTTGGAGAATAAAACCGCAGACTATACAAGCCTTTATTCAGTATAGTTTGGAAACTGCAATGAAGATTTTTTTTGTTAAATATCTGCTGCTACATTTAGTTTGGTGTTGAATAATAAGAAGCTGTCAGGACAATATTTCATCAGCATTTCACACTGAAAGTTCATTAATATGTTTTTGGTATGAGCACTAACAAAGCCATAATTTTTTCACTCATGATTTTATTTAAAATACATTTTTCTTATTTTAGATTTTGAGAACAGATTTAGGTTTCATGCAGCTAATGAACTGCCACCTCCAGAACCATTCACAGATTGTAATAAAACCTTCCCAAGTCGTAATCCAAGAAATCCTAGTAAGTAGACAAGGGAGATAATTCATTTTAGCTTAGTTGAATTTAATCAGATGTGATTATTGTGATTATTTCAGTATCTAAGCTAATATGTGCCTTGGATGCTATAAAAGAAGCTTATTTAGTTTTGATTTAATTGTCTTTTTTTTAAATTGAGGACAAAGCATGATTAAGTTCATTCTGTTGAAACAAGTAAATGCTGCTTTTTGAGAAGTTAAAAAATGAGTTACCTACCTTTAATTTATTATTTTCATAGATGATACAGATCAAGGTAAAGCTATTTTTATGAATTAAAACCTGAACAGTGCATTACAGTTCAGTATTTTACAAGAAAAAAAATGGCTTGAATAGAAGTAAGAAATTTTTTTAACAAACAAGGTATATTAAAAAATAACGGTGCATACTGACCAAAATGGGAAAAAAATTCTCTAAGAGTTTTCACATAAAACAATTGTCATACCATGTCACATTTACACTTTTCATAATATAGCTATTAAAGTAATGAGAGGGAGGAAAGAAGTTGAATAATGAAGTCAGCCAAGATACTCAAAATACATGAGTGGGATTTCAATTATAGATACTAGACAACTTGAATGTTCAGGAGTTAAATTTCAAATTTTTCTTTTCAAGCCAATTATTTCTTTGAAATTAAATTTTCTTATGCTGAAATTGATCTCCCATACTTTGCTTATCATTGTGATTTTATCTGCAGCTAGAGAATTTATTTCAGTGTCAGGAAAAGGGTAGTTGCAAGAAAGACATTTGGACGCTGTAATTTTACTTTCAATTTATATCAGTATTTGACATTATGTGAAAGGGAATATTAGTCAACCTGTTTTTACAGTAATTATTATCGTGTGTGTGTTTACATCAGGAGAAACAAATACAACTCAAGATAAAATAATGACAAAATAAACAAATAAACTTAAGACAATTCTGCCTCTTTCAACTGGTTTGGTAAGAATCCAACCATAAACGCCTTCAAAATAGTCTTTTGAAGTGACAAATAGTTATGTAGAGCACTTGCACAAACCAAGTAGACAAATTTACCATAGAACTTCTCTCCGAAAACAACATGATTTCCCTCGCAAATATTTATGTCAAAACTAATTGTTTTAGCCATTCAAGGAACAGATAACAATTTATTATATTTCAGCCTGAGAAGCTCAATGAATATTCATGATATACAATGTACCATATATATTGTTTTACATAAACATCATGCATTTTAACTTAAAATTAAATTTCACAAGCCAAATGTAAAGCACCAACACTTTCATAAAACTTCTTTTTTATATCCCTTAAAACCAATATAGTTGAGCAGCTTAGCGGCCATATTAGATAGGTGGAGAAATAATAAGGGAGATATGGGGCCATATTACATAGGTGAAGAAATAATAAGGGAGATATGGGGCAATTTCTTCTTTTAAACACACAAATTCAAAGGGGAGAGGGGAGGGTTTTGTTAAAATTTGATTTTTGACTATTTTTTCGAGCTATGTCTTTTATCTTGTAAACTATAATAGAAAGAGAGAAACTGAAAACTGCAAAAATAATCAACAATATAAGACCAACAAAAATGCCAATATGACTGAATCCATTGGATGAGAGTTATTGCCCTTAAATGATGATTTTTTACTTATTTTTGAGGTTTTGCTCATTATCTCCAAAAAGTACAATAGATGGGTAGAACTTGTTCAAGCAAAAATCATCAGCAATACAAGATCTACAAAATCACTAAAATAACAGACACCATGTGATGACTCCTTATAGGGATTATTACAATTCAATGACAATTTTTGCTTATTTTCTCAATTTTGTTTAACAGATGGGTGTTTCAGGCTCTTATGAGCCACTTGTTAAGTATTTTCAGTGTTTGTAATATGGAATAACTGTTGATTACAAACAGAAATATATAATTGAATTGATCATATTAACGATCAATTGTCTCTCAAGAATTCTTAATTATGTTTGAATGTTTTTAGTATATAGATCAAAATAATTTATTCTAGGTGAAGATTTTGACATTATTATAAACGGTAAAAAATCTTCAAAGAAAAAATGTTTTAAGGTGTGGTTTAGTTATTTCATTCAATTTCTATAATAGCATGCTAGAAAAATTTCAATTTTAACAGTTTAAAGGCCTATCTAATATGGTATTAATTAGAAAACATGATCAAGTTGTTTTTTCAAGGACATAGTTTCAATAACTAAGGATAAAATAAGTTATTTTAATTGTCCCATAATTTTGCATAACTTTGATAAGATGTGCAAGTTTAATAATCAGGTGTACAGAAGTTACTGGTGGGATGATGTAGGGGAAAAGAAGATACAATTATGTTTATACTTTATGTTATCATCAAAATTCCTTGCCTACCCCTTCATTCCACTTGATCAATATTTAATTGTTGAATATCTCTAAATTGACCGTTGTGTATATAAATGTAGTAAATTGAATGCTTTTATAATTGATTTCTTGAAATGATCATACATAAATATATTTTTGTCAATGATTAACTTAAAAGATTACTTTTCAGGAATGAGTACTATCAGTTTCAATTAGTGTAAGGGAACACATATGTTACAGATTGTTTCAAATCAGAAGTTGTACCCGATATTTTGTGACCTTTTACTGGCTGTGTATACATAATAGGGTCAAAATCAAAGTGATTTTATGTTTTAAAACTTTAGAAGGGGGCAATTAACAAATATTTTGTACCAAATGTATATATTTGTGTTATAATCCAAGAGTACAAAATACACTGCACATCATTTTTACCTCCTATTTTTAAATTTAGATTTGCAAAGGTTTCACGGGTTCAAATGTTTTTCTTTATAAATGTCAAATTGTTTCTAGGTGAGAAGATTTTTTTTCAAAATGAGGATTGTTTTTCTAAATATTATGACACAATCAAAACTCCCTGAAAGATGTTAATATGCATATATATTAATTAATCACATGTTCATATTAAGGCATTAATAAGACTGGATGGTTATTGATTGAAGGTTCAACACTGATTTGAAATATTCCTCAGTAGTTATTGAATGCATGTTAATATATCTAATGAACAGAATTTTAATAACAATACAAAATTTTGTATTAAAACATAAAATTTTGAACATTAAATATTTAAATATCAAAAGGTTTTGGTAGATGACTTATTTGGTTGTAAAGGTCGATCCTAGATATGTAATTTGATATATGTTTCAAAACCCTTTGGAACAACAAATAGAAATCTTATCTTATACCCTGTGATAAGGTATTGATAACTTTTTAACTGTCATAATAGTTTTGACTAACATTCCTAATGTTTTGGGTCTAAGAGTTAATCATTTTAAGAACATATATTGGATAAATAATCCATATTAATTTTCTTTGTTTTATTGATTTAAATGTACTGAAAACCAAATAAGAAAGGGTGCCATGATTAAAAAGAAGTTTGAAGATTCAAATTATGTTTTCTTTAAAAATAGTGCTATTCCACTGGAAACTTTTTTCGAGGTGAAGCAAGTTATTTTCTGAAAATTATACATTTTAAAAGGGGATATCATAGACCACTTTTTCCATTGACCAGGCAGAGGAATATTGGTGGCTACTTAATTCCATTATTAAGTCTCCCAAACGAAGTTTGGGAAGACTTATTGTTTTTGCTCAGTTCTTATTATTATTATTCTTCTTCTTCTTTCTCTTCCGCCGCTTTTAAATTTGAACTTGTCCGCACCCTTTCTCCAAAACCGCTTGTCAGATTAACTTAGGGTTTCACAATATGTTAAGCTAACATGTCTAGTGGTGCAATCAGGGTTTTGTTTGTGCAATGGGGATTATAAAGGGGTACTTTGAGGGGCAAACAGAAAAGAGGGTTTTACTATAGAACCCTATGGGACTTTATTTTTTTAAATTTTCAAATGATTATAAATTGAAAACCGTTTGTGATAGACACAATCTTTTTAATTGAAAATGTTCTAAATGATAAAGCCCATTAAATGAAATACAGGGTTAGTCCCCAGGGGTCACCCCCACCCCCTGCCATTTAAGAAAGTTCTAATACCTTGTAAGTGGTCAAGATCCCCACCCCTAAACCATATATATTTTGGTTTGTTATGCTATGATGGTTTGAATGATATACAGGGTAAGTCCCCAGGGGTCATCCCGACCCCCTACCATTTGAGAAAGTTCTAATATCTTGTAAATGGTCGAGATCCCCACCCCTAAACCATATATATTCTGGTTTGTCATGATAAAGCACATCAAATGAAACACAGGGTTAGTCCCCAGGGGTCACCCCCACCCCCTGCCATTTAAGAAAGTTCTAATATCTTCTAAGTGGTCAAGATCCCCACCCCTAAACCATATATATTCTGGTTTGTCATGCGAAGATGGTTTGAATGATATACAGGGTTAGTCCCCAGGGGTCATCCCGACCCCCTGCCATTTGAGAAAGTTCTAATATCTTGTAAATGGTTGAGATCCCCACCCTTTAACCATATATATTCCTATTTGTCATGTCTCGAACATTTGAATGACGTATATGGTCAGTCCCCAGGGGTTCCCCCCACCCCCAATGTTCTAATATCTTGTAAATGGTTGAGATCCCCACCCCTAAACCATATATATTCCTGTTCGTCATGTAATGAACATTTGAATGACGTATAGGGCCAGTCCCCAGGGGTACCTCCCCACCCCCAATGTTCTAGTATCTTGTAAATGGTCGAGATCCCCACCCCTAAACCATATATATTCTGGTTTGTCATGCCAAGATGATTTGAATGATATACAAGGTTAGTCCCCAGGCATCACTAATGCATATAACTTTACTGGACCAAACCAATTTTCACTGGATGTTGCCCAATGTCAGGCGACCCTGGGAATTACGAATTATGGGAGCTTCGCTTGGGAGACTTCGTAACAGCATCCTGTTACAATCATTTCTTGTTCAAATTGAACCTTTTAAAAATAAGTATTTTCAGTGGAGTAATGCTTAGTTTATTACAGATTAGAATGTTATTATTATGTGATGCAGATAATTCTATGCATATTTTATTATTTATCTTCATTTATTCATACCTACAAATGTTGCATATTTTATTATTCATCTTCATTTATTCATACCTACAAATGTTGCATATTTTATTATTCATCTTCATTTATTCATACCTACAAATGTTGCATATTTCATTATTCATCTTCCATTTATTCATACCTACAAATGTTGCATATTTCATTATTCATCTTCATTTATTCATACCTACAAATGTTGCATTTACTTTACATTTATCATATTCAGTTAAGATTTGAGTTGGTTGAAGTATTATTAATGTCACTGTTACATGTGTATATACTACGACATAAACTATGGGAAAGTGATTAATTAGCCTGTTTTGTCTTCCTAGCAACAAAAGGCTTTGGAATATCCCTTTCTGAGGATCAGTGATTTAAAGTACATTCAAACCTGTACATAAAGGTCATAACTGGTCTTACTTAACTATTGTTTTTTGTACCCCACGCAATGCTGTGCAGGGGACTTAAAAATACTAGGCCTTTGTCCATGTGTCTTTGGGTATGTCTGTCTAGTCTTGTAAGCGCTGTCGGTGCCAGATTTTTATTGAATTTGTTTCATATGGTTTATTTTCAGCAATGTCTCCAAAAAGTTTGAAAAAAGTGCCAAACAACTATTTTTTGAAGGCGTTATGCTCCTTAAAAATAAAAATTATATGGAAATTAATTCGAAGCTATCAATAGATATTAGAAGATGTGGTATGAGTGCCAATGAGACAACTCTCCATCCAAGTCAAAATTTATAAAAGTAAACCATTATAGGTCAAAGTACGGTCTTCAACACGGAGCCTTGGCTCACACCGAACAGCAAGCTATAAAGGGCCCCAAAAATTACTAGTATAAAACCATTCAAATGGGAAAACCAACGGTCTAATCTATATAAAAAACGAGAAACACTTATGAACCACATCAACAAACGACAACTACTGAACATCAGATTCCTGACACGACTACATTTCTTGTAGGATTGCTTTGAAATGTTAAAATAAAAGGTTTATATCATAAATGTCTGGGAGGAGTTTGAAAATCAGCTCTAATCAATTATTTTTACAGAAGTTATGTGCATTGGAAGTGCTCTCAAGTGTACAAATCTTGCCAGATATTTAGGAAATTTGAATTAAAGGTTTATATATGCAATGTCTCGGACAAGTTTGAAAAGCAGTGCTGATCAACTATTTTTAAAAGAGTTATGCCCTTAGAAATATAAATGATATGGAATATTGCAATGTAAGCACTATCAAGACTGCATTTCTTGTAGGATTGTTATGAAATTTATATCAAAGGTTTATATAATCAATGTCTGGATGAGTTCAGCATGGATCAATTATTATACAGGAGTTATTTTCGATGTTATTTATATTAAATAATGCATTGTAAGCACTTTCACACCTACATTTCATGTCAGGTTTTATGAAAAGTTTATATCAGCAAGATCTATGAAGAGTTCTGACCAACTCTTTTTGGTGTTGGCTTTGAAAATATTACCCAGAAATCAAGAAATCTTTTAGATTCTGAGATAATTAATGTTTAATTTTGCTTCAGGGAAGGTAATACAAAGGTTTGGAAAATAAGGCTACATTGACTGAAATTTCCCTATATCTTTCTCTTTGTATATTATGTATTTGTTAAGCATTAATTATTTGTAATTTTTCCCTGCTTTCTCAAAGAATGTTGTTGAATATTGGTACAGGTAAAATTATCTGAAATTTTATATTTGAGTTTTGTATAACTCGTGGTTTTCCTGTTTTATTATTCAATGATGACATCAAGTTGATATTATATCCATAGCATTGCCCTATAATCAAAATAATTATTGTTTGAAATAAAATTGAAAAATGTAATTTCTTTGTAAACACAATCTGATAAGTTTTAATAATAAATGGTAAAGATTACTGTCTTTAATTCATATACATGTATAAATATGATTTTGTAGGCAGCCCGTATTATGTTGAAGACATGTAACACTTTTTATTAACCTTTCAATATTTTTTTTTAGGTCGACGAGCACCACCACCACCTCCACCCAAATGAAAAACACATATCACTGGTTCATAGTTCAAAGTGCAATTCATATGGAAGGATGATACAGGCATGTATGTGGTGTATGGCATTAAACAATTATGAAGATGTCTTAAATTGCAGATTCATGCCCTGCATGCATCTTGTGATATTTATTTATGATGGGGAGGCAGTCATGTGATAGTCATGTGATCAAGCGATTCAGTACGGGACTGTTCTGTAAATGGCTTCAGTATGAACAAGGATTCTTTATAGAGATGTAAAATAGTCATTACCAATCAGACAGGTGCTTTCAAAGATTTATTATACAAATTTATTTATAGTGAATTTTCATGTTTGTGATGAATTGCATCTAATTTAAGTTAACATGCTGCATATACTTATCAAGTTTTATAGAGTTCTGATGTCAACTAATAAAATTATTGTTGTTATATTTTGATCTGAAGAATTTTGTTTTATAGACAGAATGCACAAAATAAAGTGTAAATGAAATGGTTGAATATAAAAAGAAACTGATATTTGACTGGTAAAAATACATTTTAAAAAATTGAACATTTCATCAATTTCATTTTAGAATGCAAATGCATATATACCTTGCTAATTTGTTTTTCTGATCAGTCATAAAGTATACAGAGTAGTATACATCACCTTATTTTGAGAGAATTTATATATCTTCTCAGATTGTACATTAAGTCTCATTTATATGGCAATCATTTTAATTGATTATTTATTAAGTTTCAATCATTAAATTAAGTCAGGAAAGTAGAAATAAAGGCAAAACATTTCTAAAAATAGTCTTTTACCAGTCTTCAGATATTAACTCTACCAGACAAGATTGTATTGGTAAGATACACACAGATCTACAGATATAACATCATCATTATCATAAGCATTAGGTATGTTTAATATGTTATGACGGCTCTTGATAAAAGCCCAGACCTGCAGGTTAATGCAGTGAGTAAAACCATTAATAAAGATTAATTAGTGGCTTAATCATATTTATCTAGTTATTAACCAAAAAAATTAAATGCTTAGTCAGCATAAAGTAAACCACATGTTTAAATTCATCTTTATATTACAATTGTATAGAAGACAGAAGAGTGCTGTAATGTGAATAGTTTGCTAATTTATTCTTCCATTATTTTTACAATTCTGCCTATAATTGTCTGTACTTATTACTAGGGTAATAACACTTGTTGTATTTGCACTATTTATTTTATTGTAATATAATTGCTTTGACCTTTATATACATTGGGATTATCATAAACATGCAGTCCCATACATGTAGGTACAATTTTGAAGTAAAGTGTTTCCTGGTTGAGTTAATTTACTTTTCAGTAGTATTATGCCTTTCTTTTAAAAAAAAAAGAGATCTATCTTAATTTGAACAGGCAATTATAATCAATTCAATATTTTTATTGGAATTTATATCTAGGATTGTGTTTAAGAATATGTGACACAGCTACTGGAGTGACCAGTTTTTTATGGGTTCTTTTGTGGAAACTTTTATAAAAATATCCTTGATTTAGTCTTTTTGGTGGCAAGAGGTAAACAAAAATTAAAGTAAAATATGGAAAAATCAGAGGTCAAAGAATAGAGGCTATTTGGTTTAAGTATTTACTTTTGACTGCTGCTTTCCCATGTATATCTATGGTATATTTTATTTTATTCCTTTGTATTATAACAAGACAACAATCAGAAAATATAGAAATCAAAAGATGTGTTTTTTTCCTATAGTGTGCTGGGCACAATATGTACCTTCAGCATTGGTGATTGAGTAAATTATTTTGATGTATTTGACTAAAAGATATTTTCATAGATGTAAGTAATACAGTTCATTTATCATGGGCATTATATTGAGTTGGCTATAATACATGCTTTGCATTCCCCAATGGAGACCTTTTATACTGTTCAAATTGATAAGGAAACATAAAAATAATATTTAGACTTTCTGTCCTCAAAAGAAATGAAATGAGGGAGAACGAAATTTTAACCAAGTTTAATTCTTTCATGAACAGATGTGTTCTTTGACAAGACATTACAGTTTTGGTGTGAAGTTTTCCCCTATATATGAGTTATACAACAAAAAATGGCAGCAAAATATTGACTATTTGATTTGCAAATTCCTTAAAAATATTTTCAAACTGAAAATGTATTTTATATTTATCTATTCATTGACCAAAAATAGAATTATATCATTAAAAAGCTTTGTAAAATAACAATCTGTAAAAGTCATCAGTCTTCACTTGTCCAACCCTACTCTTAAGTTTGTGTTTATTTAAAAGGTCTCCATTGTCTTCACCATTCCGCTTTTTAACCTGTCTCTATATAGGTGTGAATGTGTGTATATTTTGCAGAAGATGTTTTGTATGTTAGTTGGGTATTTTTGTTATGTTTTTATAAACATTTGTTAGTTTCACCACACATGGATTTGCAAAATAGGTAAATTATATTTTTCTGCTTGTTTAACATCAACATTCATTTTAATCAATGAGCTATTGGATTTTGATGTTTAGTTTTTCAGATGCAAAGCAGTTTTGATAGGTTTATAAGTTATAAATGTCATTAGCCAGTATTAAAACATTTATATGCATTTGCAGATAAATAACCACATGTTTTGTATTTTGCGTTATTATTAAAAAGGCCTCTGATAAACTGTTATGAATAAAATAACCAGTCTTCTTGAAAAATCCTATGCATCTCTTGTATGTTCTACGATACAAAAGTTTTGCAGGTGTTAATAATTTTTCATTTACTTTCATTTCATATGATATAGAAGTTAAGTATTTCAACAAATTTAGTTATTTGGCATGGTTATAAAGCATATGTATCTAAGTAACCTTAATAGTAAATTTATAGCAATTAAACATAAAGATAACCTTATCAACATGTGGACTTTTTATTTGATCACCATGAAACAAAATGTAAAAAATGATATAATCTCATTAAAAATACACTCATTAGTAAATGTCATTCTACCTTGTATTGATGCCTGAATTCTATTATTCCAGACTGTGACACAAAGAAGCATATATTTGCATTGATGCACATGTGTCAGTATGATTGAAAACTTAACTGAAGTTCAATTCAAGCATATATGTTATGCCATTAATTTCTATAAATGTATTGTAAATGCTAAGAAATTTCTTATTTAGGCTTATCAAAAAAATTTGCTTTGTGGTATATTTTTCATGACAATTTTTCACCTTCAGTCAAATACTATAACAGTGCCTGTAGTATCTTATCTCGCTTTCATTCATTTTTTTTTTAAAATAACTGCAATTTCTACATCATATAATTCTGAGTTCAAATTTCAAGATTGATAAAAAAAAATCTGAAATTTATTCATTTGTAAGGATATATGAATTGGTTTAATTGTATCACCTGACAGCCTCCATGTGTAACAATACATTGTGGTCACTTCACCTTTCCATGACAGCCTCCATGTGTAACAACACATTGTGATCACTTCTGTCACCTTTCCCTGTCATTGCCACACTTTGTTGATCTACAATTCCTTGAAAACAAGCCAGACAGAAATCAACCAAATTTGCACCGATTCTTTAACAGCGTATGAAGTTGTGCTCTTGCTATTTTAATTTTTAGGGTTTCCAATGCCAAAACATGGACATAAACATTTCTCTGATATCTTTTTGTAAATCTGCATTTCTTTAAAACGACATGACAGAATTCAACCTAACTTGCATAGATTCTTCTACAGAACATGAAATTGTGCATTGCTATTTAAATTTTTGATTTGAATGATTTTTAGGGGTAAATCTAAAACATGTCTTTGGAAAGTTTAAAACCTTTTTGTCGAGCCTGCGACTTTTGTCGCAAAAGCGAGACATAGCAATCCTACAGCGACGGCGACATCCACAAATATTCACTCTGTGTTTAAAGTATTTGAAATTTTAATAACTTTCTTAAACTATCCTGGATTTGTACCAAACTTGGACAGAAGCTTGTTTATGATCAAAAGCTAGTATCTAGAAGGAAATTTTGTAAAAATTTATTTCCTGTTTTTCCGTATATAACTTATAAATGGACTTAGTTTTTCTTCCAGTTAACCTTACATACAGTCTGTAGTTAAAAGTTTTTAAATCATTTATTAGATTCATAAACCATTCTGGATTTTTACCAAACTTGGACAGAAGCTTCTTACAATCAAAAGATAGTATCTATAGGAAAATTTTTAATAATTTTTTCCCCATTTTGTTGAGCCTGTGACTAGCAGCAAAAGTAGGCGAGACATTGGGTTCCGCGGAACCCTTACGAATTTTTATTTTAATTATTGGACTCATTTTTTTATCTCTTGAAAGGAACAATGGCTTAAGATTCTATAAACATTTAGATATTATTTATGGCAGTATTTATGTTTTTACATTTAATTATGTCCTATTTTGATGTTACTAGATGATCTGCTAAAATAAACCTGATATTAAATCAATTTGTATGTTGTACTCCTGAAATCATTGTGTTCAAACTTATCATTTATTATTTTCTTAAATAGAACTTTGCCTGTCAATACAACTGGAGCTTTCAACCATTTATTAGTGTTAGTCTGTTTAATTTCCTTGATTTTAATAATAATAATAATCAATACAATATTTATAAAGCGCTTTTTATAATAACAACAATAACTCTAAGCGCTTCACATTTGAAAATAAATAAAATACAAAAATACATAAAACATAAATTACAAAGCACCAACTTACAAGAATCAAACAAGCATATAAAAATTAATAAAATACTAAAAATGAAAAATGCATGTACCCTAAAATATACAAAAAACAGTCTAAAACTAATGCAGTCAATTTTGCTCTGTCTCTTAACATTAGCTGATTATTAGTTATGCTGTTAAAAGACAAGATTATCTTATATTATAAAGGGGTAGTTGTGTTTACTTAAAAAAAAAAATTGTTTAAATTCACTCCTTTTTTTTTAGCATAAATAAATGTAAAAAAAACTTTTGTTTTTCATTTATTATAACATAAGTATCAGCAAATCAGTGTCTTTGTAAATACAGTCTTTTTTATACATTGATCTAAACATAAATTCCTTTTTAAGAAATCAAACTAGACTAAGTTTTGATAATCAATAAATTAATGAAAATTAGAATGAATAGTTTATTGACCCTTTAAATTGAAACAAAATGTAGTGAATAAGCAGTTTGTTATTACTTGAATGTTATATTTTGTTTGTTTGTTTGTTATGAGTGTTATTTATGGATGGTAGTGTATATAACATATCCATGAATCTTCCAATTATATATGTATATAGAAAATGAACAATGATATAGATTATATCATATTGTAAATATAATGTATATCTATAATAAATGATACAATTTTAACCTGTTGTTGGTTTTTAGGCAGTTAAGCTGCCTTATGCTAGCACCCTAGATTTGTGTTCTCCCTAACGAATGCTGAAAAAAGTGCCATTGTTGTAATCTAGCAGGCTAATATGTTATTTATAACTTATTGGACATTTTTTTCATTCTTTTAATTCTGGAATACAAAAAATATGACCAGAATAACCTTAAATGATCGTCGAACGACGCATAATATTTGAAGTTGCACATAGGAAATAGTGCTCAATAGAAATCCGTACGTAGTTTATTATCCCCTGTGCTTTTGGCTAAGATGGCAAAGAACAATTGTATGAAATATTTCATCGCCGAAAATCTGTAATTACAAGTCGTTTATATTTCCCAAATGGCAAAATGCGCAGGAATATTGTTCATGTACACCAAATCTCTATGATAGAAGGAATAAAGTTATATATAGTACACATGTAGTCTAAGTTGGCGGTAATTTTAACTTACACGAAACGTAAGTTCGTTTGCAATTGATTCTGATGATATAAAGTCCGATTAAGCGAAAGTACTCTTAATCATGATATTCTTTTAGTTTAAGAAGATTGTGATTATTTAATTGATTTCAATTAAATGTATGCACATTTAAATTCCTTTCTTTTATTAAATTATTCCGTTTATCACTGAACTTGTTGTTATTTTATGAATGAAAAACCGGAAATCGACGTAATCAATGTCGACCAATCAGGTCGATGTTTTAAGAAATGCGGCATAACTCGTCCCAGAGACAAGTCGGACCGTCTAAGAAAACAACTCGGACCCCTTGTCAGATTAACTTAGGGTTTCATAAAATGTAAGACTAACATGTCTAGCGGAGCCATCAATCTTTCGTTTGTGCATTGGGAACTATTTAGGGGTATTTTGAGGGGCCTAAAGAAGGGAGGGGTTTACTGTAGAACCCTATGGGATTTTATTTTCAAATGACTATTTATACTCGAAAACAGTAAGTGATAGACACGCGTGGTCTTCAGTAATGAGAAGAGGACAATAAAACAAATCAAATATAATATAGGGTGAGTCCCTGGGGGTCATCTCACCCCCCTTCAATTTGAAAATGTTCTTTTATCTTGTAAACGGTCGCGATCCCCACCCCTAAACCATATATATACTTGTATGGGACAATAAAACAAATCAAATGAAAATTTGGGGGAATCCCTGGCGTCACCCCACCCCCTTCTGTTTCAGAACTTGTAAACGGTCGATATCCCCACCCCTAAACCATATATATTCATGTATGGGACAATATAACAAATTAAATGAAATATAGGGGGAGTCCCTGGGGTCACCCCACCCCCTCCTGTTTGAGAACTTGGAAACGGTCGAGATCCCCACCCCTAAACCATATATATTAATATATGGGACAATATAACAAATCAAATGAAATATAGGGGGAGTCCCTGGGGTCACCCCACCCCCTCCTGTTTGAGAACTTGGAAACGGTCGAGATCCCCACCCCTAAACCATATATATTAATGTATGGGACAATATAACAAATCAAATGAAATATAGGGGGAGTCCCTGGGGTCAACCCACCCCCTATTGTTTGAGAACTTGTAAACGGTTGAAATCCCCACTCCTAAACCATATATATTCATGTATGGGACAATATAACAAATCAAATGAAATATAGGGGGAGTCCCTGGGGTCAACCCACCCCCTCCTGTTTGAGAACTTGTAAACGGTCCCCACTCCTAAACCATATTTATTCCTGTTTGTCATTTCAAAATAATTTGAATGATATACAGGGTCAATCTCCTAGGCGTCACATTATGTGACATATGCATATCACTTTACTAGACCAAACCAATGTGTACTGGACTTTGCCCAATGTCAGGCGACCATGGGAATGACGAATTATGGGAGCTTTGTTTGGGAGACTTCGTAACAGCATCCTGTTACAATTATTTCTTGTTTTTTTTAAAATTTTATTGATGCAAAAAATGAGTCTAGGTAAATTGAATTTACTTTAATTATTTTTTGAATTATTTCTGGGCCTATAAAAATTTTCATTTATGGCTCATTTTAAAGATAACATATAAATCTTTCAAGCAGTGTAAAGCCCAAGAATGTTTGACCAATTGTTTTATTTGACCGGAGAACCTGAGATCACCCCCAGTTTTTGGTGGGGTTCGTGTTGCTTAGTCTTCAGTTTTCTATGTTGTGTCATCTGTACTATTATTTGTCTGTTTGTCTTTTTATTTTTGGCCATGGCGTTGTCAGTTTGTTTTCGATCTATGAGTTTGACTGTCCCTCTGGTATCTTTCGTCCCTCTTTTATAATCACCTGTCATTTTATTCCAAACTTGGTATGGAGTGATATCACGGACTTGGGGTGAAGGTGGGGGTCATTTACATTTACTATGGTCAGGGCAGTCAGACCTCACCTTTGATCCCTGTAGTAGTAAACATTTGTCTGATTTGTGTCTCATAACTTTTGTACTGTAGAACCCAAACACAGTGTTCCTTCCAGGGAAGCAAGTCCATTCATACAATTACGTCAACTTGTACCACTAAAAGTCAACTGGTACCAACGTTAACTACCAACTAGAACACCTGCAATCATTGCGAACTTGTACCACTGCAGACTCACCATTAAAAATATACATTGATATATGCGTTGCTTTAGAAAACCTTGATAAAATATTAATTAATTTGCCTTAATAATCAATTCATTAAATAAACATAAATGTACAATATACGAATGGTTAATGTTTGTTCTTTCAAATCTGAAAAAAAAATTTGAAGCAACACTGCCACAGTTTTCATAATTACGTTTGCCTTGGTTTTTGGTTAACTGCCTGCAGCGCTTACAGTGCTTTGATTAGTTTGAAGGAAGACTGGCAGATTTATAGTGTTTGCCGCTAAACAAAGGGGGATATAAAGATACTGATTTTTGTCCATCCAACATTGTAAACATCCTCAAGCCTACAATTTTCATTGTTTTAATTGAACTTTACTTTTAATGTCAATTTCAGCAATATCTAGGAAGGGCCAATTGATTATTTTTGAGCTCTTGGAAAATGTAAATAATATTGAAAATCATAATTTTAAGCACACCTTGCATAATATTGAAAATCAGAGTTGAATAAAATTTAAACCAAAGATTAAAATCAGCAATATCTGGGACTAGTATAAATATGCAACAGTCTGTTTTTAAACATGAGTTACACACTTAAAAATGTTATAGAACTTTAATACAATTTGGAGCCACAATGAGAACAAGCTAACATGGATGGATACCACATATCCTTTGGTTTTTTTTAGGCATTCAACACAGAGCAAAAAACTTTCACCTCACTGCAAGTTTATTTCTATTATATTAACAGAGTTTGTCTCTCTTGATGTGTGGAGGCCGTAGAAAGTTTCCTGTGCTTAAGGTGTTTACTCTTCTGTATTTCTAAAGTTATGGTGTTAACTTCTCTTATGTGTGCCACATCATTCTTTCAATTTTAGGTCAGTTTGTGTTGTTAAATTTTTAAAAAGACACACACCACCTAATCTTGGCCCCCATTCCTATCCACGTTAAATTTTTGACTTTTTAAACTTTTATGGTTGACAAAATCAATATACTGTTATTTTCACATCAGACCATACTGGTTACCGGAACTTTGGATACACCAAACAAGGTACTTCATATCTGAGAAGAAACAGGCAATATATGCCCTGAAATTTTAGAATTCATTCATACATTTTTAGGCAGTTAAGCTGCCTTATGCGAGCACCCTAGATTTGTGTTCTACCCAATAAATGCTGAAATACGTGCCATTGTTATTATCTAGCTAGCTATTATGTTATTTATAACTAATTGGACATTTTTTAATACTTTTATTTCTGGAATACAAAAAATATGACCAGAAAAACCTTAAATGATCGTCGAACTACCCAAAACTCTTGAAGTTGCACATAGGAAGTAGTGCTCAATAGAAATCTGAACGTAGTTTATTATCCCCTGTGCTTTTGGCTACGATGTCAAAGAACAATTGTATGAAATATTTCATCGCCGAAAATCGGTAATTACAAGTCGATTATATTTCCCAAATGGCAAAATGCGCAGGAATATTGTTCATGTACAACAAATCTCTATGATAGAGGAAATAAAGTTATATAAGTGGGCGGTAATTTTTAACTTATCTTGCCAAATAAGGTTGTCGTTATTTTATGAATGAAACCAGGTCTTGAAACGCGGAAATCGACGTTGATGGGATGTTTTAAGTAATGTGGACAACTCGTCCCCGAGACAAGTCGGACCGAATCCACTCAAATCGTCTAAGAAGACAACTTTGACCGTTTGTCAGATTTACTTAGGGTTTCATAAAATATTAGACTAACATGTCTAGCGGAGCCATTAATCTTTTTTTGTGCATTGGGGTCTATTTAGGGGTATTTGGAGGGGCCTGAAGAAGTGAGGGGTTTAATTTACAACCCTATGGGATTTTATTTTTTTAAATTTTCAAATGACTATTTCTCGAAAACAGTAAGTGATAGACACATGCAGTCTTCAGTAATGAGAACAAGACAATAAAAAAAATCAACCATATATAGGGTGAGTCCCTGGGGGTCATCCCAACCCCCTTCAATTTGAAAATGTACTTTTATCTTGTAAACCGTCGCGATCCCAACCCCTAAACCATATATATACTTGTATGGGACAATACAAGAAATCAAATGGAAATAATTTGGGGGAGTCCCCGGTGTCGTCCCACCCCCTCCTGTTTTAGAACTTGGAAATGGTCGAGATCCCCACCCCTAAACCATATATATTCATGTATGGGACAATAAAACAAATCAAATGAAATATAGGGGTCACCCCAACCCCTCCTGTTTGAGAACTTGGAAATGGTTGAGATCCCCACCCCTAAACCATATACATTCATGTATGGGACAATGAAACAAATCAAATGAAATATAGAGGGAGTCCCTGGGGACACCCCATCCCCTCCTGTTTGAGAACTTGTAAAGAGTCAAGATCCTCACCCCTAA